TTCTACATTATAAAAAGTGATTTAAAAGTTTTATCTCAAATTGTCATTATTTACAGTTTGCCAGAGTTTACATTTATTACAACTATTTAAATTTACGATGGGGCACCTGGGTGGCTCAGTGGGTTAAAGCCTCTGCCTTCAGCTCTGGTCATGATCCCAGGGTCCGGGGATCGAGCCCCACATCCGGCTCTCTGTTCAGCAGGAAGCCTGCTTCCCTCTCTCTCTCTGCCTGCCTCTCTGCCTACTTGTGATCTTTGTCAAATAAATAAAATCTTTTTTAAAAAAATAAAATAAATTTACGATGAAAACATTTTTTTTTTAATTTGTAGAGAGGGAAAGAGTGCACACACATGTGCGAGTGTGCATGAGTGGGAGTGCCAGGGTTGGGGAGAAGAGGGAGAGAGAGAAGCCCAAGCAGGCTCCGTGCCCAGCGGGGCTCCATGCTCACAACCCTGAGGTCATGACCTGAGCTGAAAGCAAGAGTTGGAGGCTTAACCCACTGAGCCACCCAGCTGCCCCTATGATGAAAATTTTTAAATATCAACGTAAAAGTATGAGGGGATAAACATTTTTTCAAAACTCTCTCTCCCTAGTGTGTCATTGCCATGCCCTCTTTGGTCTTCTTGTCTTCATCTGTCTGGGTTCCTCCAGCTCCATCCTGCTACAGTTTATCCAAAAGCCTCAGAGAAACTCCTGCCAACCAAACTGTGGCTAAGAGCACAGATTTAGAATGAGGCTGGTTGAGTGCCTTTTTTTTTTTTTAGAAACTATTTTATTTTTTTATTAATTTTTTTTAATTTTTTTATTTTTTATAAACATATATTTTTATCCCCAGGGGTACATACAGGTCTGTGAATCGCCAAGTTTACACACTTCACAGCACTCACCATAGCACATACCCTCCCCAATGTCCATAACCCCAGCCCCCCTCTCCCGACCCCCTTTCCCCCAGCAACCCTCAATTTGTTTTGTGAGATTAAGAGTCACTCATGGTTTGTCTCCCTCCCAATCCCATCTTGTTTCATTTATTCTTCTCCTACCCGCTTAACCCCCCATGTTGCATCTCCACTTCCTCATATCAGGGAGGTCAGGTCATGATCCCAGGGTCCTGGGATCGAGCCCTACATCAGGCTCTCTGCTCAGCAGGGAGCTTGCTTCCTCCTCTCTCTTTCTCTCTGCCTGTCTCTCTGCCTGCTTGTGATCTCTGTCAAATAAATAAATAAAATATTTTAAAAAATAGTCAAGGAAGACCTCTCAGATTGACATTGGAGCATAAACCCAAAGAAAGAAAAGAAGCCACATGGGTGTGTGGGCAAATTGTGCCACGGAAAATAGCAAATAAAGGCCCTAAGGCCAGACAAGGTTAGCATATTTGAGGAGTAAGAGGGTGTGGAAAAAGGAGAGTAAGAAGGAGGGGGAGGGCAGATCATGTCAATATGCACAATCCTTCAGTTAAGAGCTTGACTTTTACTCAGAGTGAAATAAGAAGCCATTGGAAGGTTTTGAGCAGAAAAGTAACATCTCTTTGCCCACTGAGTGGAGAATAAATTGAATGGGGACAGAGATGGAAGCAGGGAGTCCAATTAAGGGGCCATTTTGAGAATCCGGTTGAGAAATGAGGGGGGCTTAGCCTAAGGTGGTATCAGTGGAAGGAGAAGTAAAGTAGGGAGAGTGATCATTTGTTCCCCTGTGCAGAAAGATAGTGTTTGGGGGTGCCTGGGTGGCTCAGTGGGTTAAAGCCTCTGCCTTCAGCTCAGGTCATGATTCCAGGATCCTGGGATCGAGCCTCACATCGGGCTCTCTGCTCAGCAGGGAGCCTGCTTCCCCCTCTCTCTGCCTGCCTCTCTGCCTACTTGTGATCTCTGTCAAATAAATAAAATCTTTATAATAATAATTAAAAAAAGAAAGATAGTGTTTGTAAATAGAGCGACTGATGTGTGTGAAGATCGAAATGGGAGCCTCAAAACAGGTTATTGGCAGGGCTTTGCGAAAGGAGACAGACTGAATTTGGAGGATAAAGATTCTCCTCTCTAGAGTGGTAGACAATGGTGTAGGATAGTTCATCTACCCCATCTAACCTGAAGGATAAAGTAGCTCTCAAGCCCTTTCTCCATTTTGCCTTAATTCTCTGCTTACCACGCGTCCGAGTTTCCTTAACTGATGCCCTGTACCTAAGTGCTTTGGTCTTAAGAATGACCCACCCCCACGCTGGGAATGAATACTCGGTGTCAATTTCTTGTGATTGTGGTGTGAATTACACACCCTTTCTGGGGAGCTGAGAACCAGAAACAAGGTGGCTCCCTCAGTTTCTACCACACAGTGCCTCCTCAGAGAAGCAGCCAGCCTGTTCTATCTACATCTAGCTCATTCTGTTCTGTCTCCCACACAGAATACCGTATCTATGTTACTCCCCTGTGTAAAAACCTACAGTGATCCATTTCCAACAATATGGTATGACCTTTAAGTGCCTTCATTATCTGACATCAGTCTATCGTCTAGGCCCTTCTTCTGATACTTCCCTTTGAAATACCCCAGAGACGTAACTAAGACAAGATGACTGGAACTATAAGGGAAGACACTGAAATGTAGACAATGCAAAAAGTGAGACATTGACTTCGACTTGTCCAAATTTATTTTAATTTTTTTCAAAGGAATCTCTACACCCAACGTGGGGCTCAAACTCATGACCCTGAGATCAAGAATCACATGTGCCACCGACTAAGCCAGCCAGGCGCCCTGAGAAACTGACTTAAAAGATTGCACGTGGCGGGACGCCTGGGTGGCTCAGTTGGTTAAGCGGCTGCCTTCGCCTCAGGTCATGATCCCAGCGTCCTGGGATCGAGTCCCACATCGGGCTCCTTGCACAGCAGGGAGCCTGCTTCTCCCTCTGCCTCTGCCTGCCATTCTATCTGCCTGTGCTCACTCTTGCTCTCTCTCTCTGACAAATAAATAAAATCTTAAAAAAAAAAAAATCTTTAAAAGATTGCGTGGCACTCCTTCAGCGGCAGAGTTCACAAACTTCTCACCTACACTCCAGATAACGCACATTGTTTGTAACTTCCATCTGTTCTGTTCACCACATCATGAATTAGAGCTGATTGGAGGATAAGATCAGTGTCTTACCCTGAAGCCAAAATTCTTTGTTGTGGTTTAGGAAATAGCCAGGGCTTCAGCCACCCTGAAATTCTCCTGTTCTCCAGCCAAGCCATCCTCTTTTTTATATGTCTCCAAGGTAATTCCTGAAGCACGAATGCCTTCCATTTCATTGTCTGCCCATGTAATCCTTTATGGGACTACTTCGCGTCACATCCTGGGCGAAGCCTTTCCTGGCCCTACCCTGTATTCACTGACCTTTGTTTACACTGAGTACACTATAGTACACAGAGGTTGCATTTTGATACTAGTATACTGGACAAAAATTATGATCAAAATTACCCTCATAATCCCTTAGGAAGATGCCACCAGGGAGATTGTTATATTGTCTCCTGTTGGATTGCATAGTCACTTTTTCTTCAGCATGGCAATAAATCACTGCTTCTTTCTTTGCACAAATGAAATATTTCATTTGGCTGTCAGATAGTTACAAAGTATTTCAATGACTGTATAATCACATTTACTGTGGCAAAAATGCACACAGTATAAGGCTTGTGGACTCTGAGACGCACCCACTGAGGGCATGGTCTATGGCCATCCTCCCCGCCCCTTGCCCTGCCCCATCAGAGTACACATTCATCAAGTGAAATGACAGGTAGGTACTTCCCCAAGCTGGGATTCACAAAGGAGAATTCAGCTAAATTCAAGATGATGTGATCCCACTGTATTATATATAACTCCTTGTTCTGAAAATACCTGCCCAACCAGCCAAACTGGGTGTTCCTGAAGCACAAAGGCCAGATTCCCAAGGACTATCATAATGCTTAGCCCAGAGTAAGTATCAATAAAAGTTGGATAAAAGTAAAGTGGCCCTTAGGTCCACCCCATCCTTGTCTAACTCTGGATAATTAATGCAGACAGACTCATAGGCCACATACTTCCCCTTAGGCTGAAGGCCAGCACAAAACTGGCCTACCTCTACAGGACAGTACACAGCATCGCCCTTCAACAGCACTATTTTGCTGTTTTTATTATATCTAATCCAACCTCTTCAGCATGGAGCTCAAGGCCATATTCTCTGCCCACTTTCCCTTTTTTCCCCATGGATTCCAGTTTGGCTCTCCTTTTCCATATGGCTGTTTATGGCCTCCAGCCTACCGAGTGGCATCATTATCTCTGAGACTTTTTTTTTTAAAGATTTTATTTATTTGACAGACAGAGATCACAAGTAGGCAGAGAGGCAGGCAGAGAAAGAGGGGGAAGCAGACTCCCTGATGAGCAGAGAGCCCGATGCGGGTCTCAATCCCAGGACCTTGAGATCATGACCTGAGCCGAAGGCCAGAGGCTTTAACCCCCTGAGCAACCCAGGCACCGCTGAGACTTTTTTTTTTTTAATGATAACAAATGTTCCTCTTTATTTTTTTTAAAGATTTTATTTATTTGACAAAGAGAGATCACAAGTAGGCAGAGAGGCAGGCAGAAAGTGCAGGGGAGGAGGCTCCCTGCTGAGCAGAGAGCCTGATGCAGGACTCAATCCTAGGACCCTGAGATCATGACCCAAGCTGAAGGCAGAAGGGTTAACCCACTGAGCCACCCAGGCGCCCCTCTCTGAGACATTTTTAAGATTGTATTTATTTGAGAGACAGAGTGAGCGAGAGAGAGAGAACACAAGATGGAGGAGGGCCAGAGGGAGAAGCAGACTCCCCACCGAGCAGGGAGCCGGATGTGGGACTTGATCCCTGGACTCTGGGATCATGACCTGAGCCCAAGGGAGAAGCTTAACCAATTGAGCCACCCAGGCATCCCTGAGACATTTTTGACAAGTAGTACACCCTACATTACCCCACCACACACATAAGTAGAAGCTGAATCCTATCAAAGAGAGAGCCAGTCCTTGAAGGGTAATTTCAATATAGTTCTCTATCTTTATTGACACACCACCACACATATGAGGGAAAAACAGTGCTTTTCTGGGAAAGATTGGAGTCCATCACATTTCAGATGTAGAAGTAAACCCCGATGTGGGCAAGGGGCTCTGGCAGTCAGAGCAGCTGCAGTAAGGCTCCGAGGAGCAATCCCTCTTCGTGGCAGTTTTGTGGGAAATGATCATTCCCTCCAGGTCCTTCACTTTGTTTTCCACTGCCTGAAGTTTTTTCAAAATTCTCTCTTGCAGGCCCAAGGACAGGAAGAGATTATTGTCTTGAACTGGAAGATTCCCTTCTGGGCTGACCAGCAAAGTCTGAAAAAAATCTGAGCCCTTCTTGTAAAGTTTGTAGAGGGTGATTACAAACAACAGTATTTTCTAAAACAAAACAACAGAAGTTGAGTGTTACTTGTTTATTCGTAGGAATGCCTCAGATTCAAAACAAAACAAAAACCTAATAGTAATGATAATCCCTCATTCCTATGCCAAGCGTCTGTTTCACAAAACATCTTCACATCTATTTTGTCTTTTGATCTTTCTCACAAAACAGAGTGATAGGCAGGTCAAGGGTTGTTATTTGCATTTAATTAATAAAGATGATAATAATAGATACCATTTGCTAAAAATTTGCCACATGCAGGGCTCTGTGCTAGGAGGTTGTTTTGCCCACGAGTGACATATTTACGTAGAAACAGCCCAGAACTGGTAGCCATTTAAACATCTTCCAGTTTGGACATTGTCCAAGGTCATATACTTGGAATGACAGAGCCAGGACTGAAATCCAGGAATTCTGACTTCCATGTTAAGTTCCCTCAGGACACAGTGGTCGGAAAAACTAGATTTGCTGGTCGTGGGGGAAAACTTTTTTTTTTTTTTTTTTTAAGGACCTAGGACAGATTCCTGTCAGGAGACAAATTAAAAACCAATCATCTTTTTTCCTTATTATGGTAACTGGTACTGCTTATTGAGTATTCATCATATGCTGAGATTCTATACACACAGTATCTCCTTTAACCCTCATGACCACCCTAAGGGAGGCACTATTGACAAACCCATCTTACAGATGAGGAAAGTGGGGTTTTTGGAGGCTGGTTGCTCTCCATTCACACAGCAAGTAATAGGACCAAGGTTTGAGACCCAGAAGTCCAACTCCAGAGCTCATGCTATTAACCACTTATTATACTACCGCTCTCTTGGCTGAGGTGTCTGGAGGGCTGCAAATTCAGCTAACTGAATTGAACATTAACCAAACAAGAGCAGAACCCAGAATTATAGATAATAGTGTGGGGTTTTTATTTTTTTTTACCTTATTCTATTAGCTAATTGAAATGTGTATATACCCACATATCCTTGTTGGGTATTTAGGTTAGTTGGGTTATAGTAAATAAGATTTTGGAGAAGATTTGAATTTGGAATCCTAAAAATTAGGTTCAAATCTCAGATTTGCCAGTTTTTACCGTCGACTTGGTTCAGTGATAACTAAGCTCCCTCGCCCACAAGACAGACATGATACTCCCTACCTTGCCTACTATGCAGGGTTTTGAAAGGTTAAGAGAATGCATGTGACCGTGATTCCTCGACAGTAGTGATATATGAAAAAAGTGAATGCTACAAAATGATCCAGTAATAACTTCTCTCAGCATTTACTAAATAAACCTTAAGAAAGTCCTTTTAAAATTCTGCCCCCTTAAGATTTCCACTGAAACTCAATGGACCTCAGTTTACTTGTTTGTCATATGAAAATAACCTCTATCCAACTCACAAAATTGTTGGGATTCTAAAAGCATTTTGACTATATTGTAAATATAGCTATTTTGCTGGTGATTAAACTATTATTATTATTGGTGATTAGAAGTATGGAAAATCCTAAATGTTTCTTACAATCCCAGCCAATTATACTTCTAGTCCCCAAAAGAACTTCAGTATATATATTGAGCCTGCTATTGTTAAAAGAAGGAAATAATGAAAATATTGTGATGCCTAAATGAATATACATGCCCTGGCATCAGTTACAGAACAATGTCACAGAATAGAAAGGCCATACCCAAGTCCCAATTATATTTGCAATGCCTATTCTTTTAAAAGGTACCCCTCATGGTCTCTGGCACATAGTAGGAAATCAAAGATGAATATGTGATCAAATAAACTTGGGGTTAGGCTGTCTTCTCAGTTTGTGAATTTTTTTGATCTATTTTATTCTAAAACAAGCCAAAGACCACTGTGAGAAAGAGCATTCTATGCTCAAAACCTAATTGGCAAAAGTTTTTAAGGTTAACCTGGTTTCAACCAATTTCAGAGACTAAGGTTCACCTTTTCTCATCCGCATGGTCTTAAAATTGGGTAACAGCAATACAGACAGGAGCGAGCTAACCAAATTTCAATTTAGAACTATTTAAATTCCTCTGTAACAAAAGAGTATGACCTGAATTGACTGAACACTTCGTTTCCATAAGGCATATACTCCTATTGCCAACAAAAGCAAAAAGAAAATCCCCAGGATAACTTGCACAGTTGGAGCAAGATTATCTAGTAGACCCAAATTTGTTTGCTGAGGTGGACTAGTGTCTCCCAGAAGACTTGCTTGCAGCCAATTCCATATTGAGCTCAAAGAAAGATAATCTACGATGTTGTTCCAGACAGGTGAAGATGAAGGAGATGTCGTCGACATTTTAATAAGAAAGCAGCTCCAGGAACTACATGTGCAGAGGCTTCAGGAACCTAGATATGAGTTAGTGAGAGCAACCTGGGAGCCCAGGTGTTCTAGAGCCATTGTGAACTGTGCATTATGATGTCACTGTTCTAAAGGTCAGCTTGCTTCCCACTCACCCGGTGAACTTTCTCACTCAAAACCAACCAGACAGTGGCTTGGATTTTCAGTTCTGTCATATTGCTTTCCTTGATTTTTGACAAGTTCTAGCTATAGCACAGCACTGTCCAATAGAACTTTCTGCAATGATGGAAATATTCTGTATCTGCTCTGTCCAGTATGGTAGCCACTAGTAACTTGGAATGTAAATAGTGTGGCTGAGGAATTGAATTTTACATTTTATTTAATTTTAATTACATTCAAGTAGCCAATGTGGCTAGTGGTTACCTTCTTGAAGAGTGTAGTTATAGAACATTTCTGATGATGCATGGAAGGGACAGCAATTATTTTCACATGGCAAATGAGAAAACAGGTTAAGTGGAGATTTGAGGAGAGAGCTTAAAGAAAGCTTTCCTAAAGAGTTAATAGTTTACTCAGTAAATATGGAGGGAGGTTATTCCTGGATTATTTTGCAGCATCCCTTTTTTCACATGTCACTATTGCTTAGAAATTGTGATCTTTGGGGAGACTATTTAAATATATTTGAGTCTCATTTTGCTTGTCTGTTTACAGACGGGGATTCCACATCCTTTGCAAAGCTTATATTAGAAACAGATGGTATAATTTTCTAAACACTTTGGAAACTATAGTGTGCTATACAATAACTTATATGGCATGTTATCAAATCAATTATTTACTGACTAGTACCTATCTACATTCAGCAAGCAGGTATGAAAACATAGTATGTATGGTCCGCACCCAAAACACTTATGAGAAGAGTTCATACACATTTATATTCTAAATTGAGATCAACTGTGAAGACAGCAAGAATCCAAATGAGGATTTGCACCAATAGGAGGGGGAGAGGCAAAAAGGAAGAGGAGAAAGGGTCAGTTAGGACAATTTTTAGAAAAATACTGTCTGATGCTATTCCGATTTGTTCATTCTGGTCGAAATAACAGTAATAGGGGGGCTTGGTTAGGAGGAATAGTTGTTCTGTTTTTGCAGGAAGGGGTGGTATGGCAAATTGCTTGGGGTGTTAGAGATACATCCAGAAAACAGAGTCTAATGTGCTGTTGGAAATGTAGTTATTATGACAGCTTGAAATAACGTACTGATTTACAAGTGACTGCTACTGATGCTGAACCCATAGACTGCTAGTGAATGTCAACAGTCAGAATCCTCTATAGGAAGGCATAACAGTGACTCAGATAAGACTTTGGATTTGGCTATTACAGGTTAAACATAGGTCAGGAACTATTAAAAAATGGTAACCAGAAACTTTGGAGAAAGATAGGGCTGTGACAATTAAATCATTACTTGAGACTCTCAATACTAGAGAAGAGCTCCCTATTACATGGCACCTCGCACTTCACTTTTAAAGCACTTAACACAATTATAGTTATTTGTGCAATTTTTGGCTTAACATCTGTCTTCCCTGACTGTTGTAAACCTAAGGAACACAGGGACTATGTCCCTTTTACTGACTACTATAACTCTATGGTTTGGCACAGAGCAGACATTAAATATTCGGTGAATACAAAGTCCCTTGGAAGAATTCTAAATATCGTTATGGCCTAATCTGTTCATTCATCAAGTGCCTATTACTGTATTTGTATACTTGTTCAGATAGAATCTTTATCGAGTAGCTGTTAAGAGGAGAGGCCTTTGGGAGTGCAATGGATCTGGGTTAAAAATTTTGGCTCTCCTATTCACTAACCTTGTTACCTTAAGCAAATTATACATAACCTGAGTCCTAATATCTTCACTTGTGAATTGGGAGTAATTCCTACCTTGTAGGTCTGTAATGAGAATTTGGTAATTTGTATAAAAGAACAAGCTACCAATACAGGTAAGTTGCAACTATTATCTGTAGTGACATCCATGACCAAATACAAGGTATTATAAATCTCAGTAGTGTAAAGTTCCTTAAAAGAAGCTAGTCCGAAAAGCCCATTTATAGTTTGACTGCCTTCTTATAGACCTGAAAACCTCCAGTGAAGAATTACCACATGCAAGGCATCTCAGCCCACCTTTGGTCAGAGCCACCCATCCATCTATCCAGCCAGCAGTCATCCAGACTACTTCCACCCAATAGTCTTCCACATCAGACTGTCTCAGGACTTGGCGTACACTGCAGCTTAATGACTCGTGCAATGCCTACTTTCATACTTTCAGAAGGTTCTTCATTGCCTTTCAAACAGAATTCAAAATGTAGAAGCTGGTTACATGACACTAAACTACCTGGTTGCTGTTGACCTACCCAGCCTCCTCTCCTTTCTCTTTCCCATCTTTACTCTCAACACTAGCTATAGCAGACTTCTCAGTGTCATGAAAACACCACAAAGCATTAGCGCACAATAGGATTACCTTGGTAGCTAATTCCTACTGGTTCTTCAGGTTTCAGTTCAAACATCACTTCCTCAAGGAAGTTTTTTCCTGGCCTTTTTTGAGGTCCCATCGCAGCCACAGCACTTTTGATTGTCTATCTTCTTTAGATAGAAGACGACTATCGATCTTCTTTAGGAGACTCTAACCTCCACAATGCAGGAAACCTACTGTGTCAATGTTCAACACCCAGGAGCTAGTAGATGTCACGGGCTTAAGTGACTATTTGGATATATCTTTGCTGCACTTCCAGTCTTCTCTATTTTCCAACCTGTCAAATACAGGTTGACAGGTTTTTAAATCTCCTATCCTGGTTACCTTTCTCAAAGTGGTTCAGACCTCCAAATGCAGTCCGTCACAGAATCTATTCCTGCAGGTGTAGATGAAGCAAGTCAGATTACAGTGTGGGCACTCTTTCCAGACTCACCTCTGCCTAACAGAAGGTTTTGCCCCTCAGTCAGCAGGATAAAGCAATGAGGTATCACAGTCTGTTGTAGGGGTGGGAGGTGGGGAGAAGGGCCTGAGCAACTTTTCTGACTTTTACAAGTTTCTCAGAAATGAAAGTTTTCCTCTTTCCTCAAATGAGGAAATGTCAATAATTGATGTGTGATTGGAACTGGATTTGCATGACCTGGCTTTTAATTACACTTCAAACTTTATCTCCCATTATTCACTTCCGTAAACAATATGCTCAGTTTAATTAAAGAACTGTGGTTTTTTTTGTACTTTAAATGCCACTTGCAACTTTCCAATGTTCTTCCTTCACATGAAGTTCCCCTGATACCCTTCCAGTTGAAAGAAATTGGGAGACAAGTCTCCATCCATACCCAGCTTTTATCAGCTAGACAAAACACTTCACCCTTTTTATCTGTCAAATGAGGGTAAAAGTACCAATACAGAAGTTATGAAAATTCAGTAAGAAAATCTATGGCTCAATCAGTTAGGCATCTGCCTTCAGCTCAGGTTATGATCCCGGGGTCCTGGGACTGAGTCTACATCAGGCTCCCTGTTGAGCTGGGCTCTCCTTCTCCCTTTCTCTCTGCCCCTCCCCCCCCCATTTGTGCTCTCTCACTCTAACAACAAAAAAAGTGTAATTATAATTACCGTTATTATCCTGAATTTTCACAGTACTTTCCACTTTGTTCTAGTCATTGCTTTACAAATTTTTCCATGCCTATGAATATCTATAGAGATTTTACTAAAATCCAGATTTGGGGCCAGAAGGTCTGGAGTGGGGTCTGGCCTGACCGTCAACATTTCTAACAAGCTCCAAGGTGATGCCCATGCTGCTGGTCCACTATCACACCAGGATTAACAATGTTTAAGCCACCCCAGCCCTCACATGAAAGCTTCACACTGGAAGATGCTTTGACAAATTTACTTTGGTATTTTTATCACCCAAACCATCTGAAATAGTCTCTAAATACAGGTGCACTTAAATATTTGGTTAATGACTAATTCCATCTTCCAGTGTTGGCAATGCAGGTCAGAAGTAGGCAACCTGGGACAAAGAAGAGAGGATAGATTTGGGATGGAACCTCTAGAATACTAATCAAAAACCTTCTTCTCTATCATTCCCCACCCTCTCTTTCACATGTGTTCATGAACATGGGGAAACACTGAAACAGGGAATTCTGGGTAAAAAGATAGAATAAAAGTGTTGGGCACTCCCAACTTATACCTATCATTTAGGGGGCATTCTTGAATTTTTAAAATTCAAGCCTTTTTAAGGCTCTGAGGGGCACTTGGGTGACGCAGTCAATTAAGCCTCCAACTCTTGATTTCAGCTCACGTCGTTATCTCAGGGTCATGGGCCCTGCATGGGCTCTGGGCTCAGTGCGGAGTTTGTTTTTTCTGTTCCCTCTGTTCCTCCCCCATTCTCTAATAAATAAATTAAAATCTTTAAATAAAAAAGGCTTTAAAAACGAAGCCAATGCTTCCAGATTTGTACCAGCATGGGGACAAATCCCAAAGATACATCAAGTAAAAATGAGTACTAAAAGCTACAAGAATTAACTCTCTGACCGTCTGTATTATCATAGAACTGCACATGCTACATTTGATATAAAAGTTTTTAATAAAAATCAAATAAAGCAAGATGCTCCAGCGGGAACAGAAAGTAATCTTATGATGAACCACTTTGGCTTGCACTTGAAGCAAACTTTCAAGAGTTCTGAAAAATAGGGTTTGGTTCCACCACAAACAGACTCACTTGGTCCTTTCAGGGGATAGAAATTAGGGGCAGCTGAGTAGATGTAGTTCAGTCTTAAGCAAATTAGCAACTTTCTCTTGTTCTGGGCTCAAAATCTCTAGTATAAGGAATTTTAAGAATGAAGCCACCAGATGTTTCTCATACTCAGATCACAGAGTGACTTTTTCAAGAGGCTATCCTGTATCTCCTCACAGATGAGTAAACAAGCCAACAGAAATTAGCTAAAGGTCCCAAGGAGTCAGTAGTAGCCTTAGCCTCTAAGATGT